CTTGTTCTGAGACATTCCAGAGCAGGTAACACCTGCCATGAATGCTCATACTAAACAATCACATTGAGCACTGCTGTATTGTGTGCTCTCCAAGACATGCTTTGAGTTGGTATTTTCTGGAACAAATCCCATTTTACAGATAACACTGTGACTCAAAGTGCTAAGCAATTTCCTCATGGCATCAAAACTGGAACTTGCACAAATGCCTTGTGACTCTGGGCCTAGGGTTTTTTCCAGAACGTCAAGGATTACGTGCCTTTTCAGAGCAAGGTGTAGACGATCTGGAAAGCTGCTGGCAGAATCACTATTCATTCATATGTAGAGAATAGTAAAGAAAATCCTTGAAGTCCTTGATACACTTTCAAATACCCTTCAAATGACCCAAGTTCTGGAGATTGGAACAGTGAGGAAGTAGAGAAAGAAGGGATGTGTCTGTTTTCTTACAGGCCGTTTCTTCTGCTGTTCAGGTCAAATCTGCTATTTCTTAATCAAAATTCCAGGCAAAATCTATAGCAGACAAGACCTGTAGAAGTAGGGAAAGGTCTTATAATTCATGCATTTGCATTGTTGCTTTAATTTATACTATTATTAAAGCCTTTTCAAAAATTTTTCATAGAGTTTGTCTCTTCACCTGTGCTACAAACCTATCAGGACAACTTTTATTTTTCTCTTGTATGTTCCTTATTGTGTTAATCAGCTTTCTCCTGCTGGGACAAATGCCTGAGAAAATGTAAAAGGAGGAAGTAATCACTTGGGCTCATGGTTTCAGAGGTTCAGTCCATGGTTATCTGATTTCTTTACTTTGGGAGTGCATTGTGGAAGAGGCAATGGTGGGCAAGTAGTGAAAAGAAGAGGGAGGAAAGTACTTCCTCCAGGGGCATATCCTCAGTTGTCTCACTTCCTTCCACTAGTTACCTTCTCATAAAGGTTCCACCACCTCCCAACTGGTCTCTATAGGTTGGCAGCCAAGACTTTAGCATATGGGCCTTTTGGGGGGCATTTACAATCCAAACCATAACATATGTGCTCTGTCCATATACACTGGCCTCTGCATGAGGCAAGAAGTTACCATATGGCATATTTAAAGTATTACGAGAAAGTTGTATCTCCCCAATGGCCTGACTCCATTTTCGCAATATGTACCTTTTATTGAGTATTTCTTACAAATTAGGGAATGATGTATGTGTTGGTTCTCTTTTGACTTCATTAATTAATTTGGACAGATGATCTATTCTACTGATAGAATTTAGTAATCCACCAGTAAATGGTATTTGGTTTATTCTACTTATTAATTGTCAATAGGTAAATGCCACTCCAACTGTGAAAAAATTGGTGATAGAGAGAAGAGAAAATAGATATATAGAACACTTTTTTTGGGAAAGAGAATATTATGTTCCTACAAGGGGCAATTCCTATATTGAGGTGAGGTGTTACATGAAGGGAGAGTTAGAGAGAGGGCCATTCAATATGGCTTCTTGGATTGATCAACTGTGACCCGAGTTTTTAGATGGGGAACAAGGAAGAGGAAGTTGAGACAAAAATTTTGCTCTCTGCTTTGCCACTTACAGCTGACAAAGGCTCTCTCTGTGCTGGCCTATTTATAAACAGTAGGGGTGTAGTGTTCGGGGTTTTCTTGCAAAGGAAATCTATCATCTGGTGCTAACTGTGGCAGAAAACCCATGATATTAAAATCCAAATCATGTAGCCAACTGAGCTTTAGTGCTTAGATTGGTTACTTTCACTATATAATACAACCAAGTATGACTTAGTCTGGCTTCTTGGAATATGAAATATGGATAATTTAACTTTCTGGCTAACTCAGATTAAGGAAGAAATATGATATCAACAGTAATAACTTTGACCTAGGACAACAGGCTCTTTTCACATATATTCTTTTTAAAGGGCTCTCCTGGCATTCCTGCAGCTGTACCAAGCCCCAAGGGAAGAAGATTCTGCAGAGCCAAGGGGATATTTTCCATCCAATATCCCTATTTCTGAAATACACAGAATCCTTCAATTCTGTGTGTAGGTGATTCCACAACTGTTTCTATGAGCTGGTGTATCTCTGTTAGGGGTCCAATCTTGTAGGGGTGAGCTGCACCATGTGTGTGTGACTGTTCCTTGGACTGAAGATCGTAGAGCCATGTATGGATCTTTGATGTGTATTTGAAAGTGAGCTGGGGTATGCTGAGGGTATGCACAATTGCAGAACAGAAGTGAGGCTGGGAAAGAGAAGTCAGGGAGCTACTGTGGAGGCCTTTGGCTACACAATTTTCTTCCACTGGGAAACTATTTAAAAGTCAACTCCTCTTGACTATGATGCCATAAGGACTAAGTAGGCTTTAACTGATCACTGGTATTCTTGCATGTCTTCCTGGTCGGCATGTGGATTTGTTCTGTACTAAATATGACTTCTCTAGAGAAATTCATAAGGTTTTGCTACGGTGGAGATGATGGCCACTATTATTTTACATGCCCTGAAAAATTTTTTTCTTGTAAATTTTTCTTTTTCTTTGAATACTGTTCTATAGAAGTACATTTCTTTTAGTAAATTGAGTATTCTAGTTGTTGTATTTTGGTTGTTTCTTACTGTATTCATTCTTGCCACATGTTCAGAGTATTAATGATTTCCTAGGTGCATATTTTATCCATTTACCCTCTTTATTATGATGTATGTTTTTCAAGATCTGGAAGAGTATTCACATGTCACTTCTAAATGCAGTCTGTCTTTGTTTCTTGCTTACCTTTCTCTCATCCTTAAAGATACATTGATGCTTACCATGTCCCAAGCACTATGCTAGAATTTATCTTTTGTTTTTTTTTAATGATGATGTTTGATGGTTTAAAGTGTCATCATCTAGCATGATTTTTATATGAAAAACCCAAAGTATAAATAAAGAGAAAAATAAAAGATGGATGATAGCAAATGGAGATAATATAGACCATGTGGAAATAGGGAGGGGATCTAGGAATAGAGGGAGAAAAGAGGGTAGGAGAGAAAGGGGAAGTAAAAAGTATCAAAGTGTGATATACACTTGTACCAATTCCCTATGATGAATGTATTTATTATGTTTCACACACATATTCTAATAAAGGGAAAAATAAAATGTCATCATCTACTGTTTAACAAATCCCCATCTTTTGGAGGATTCAGAGTTAGCCTTTTACTAGCTACATATTTTACATCTATTCTGGAGAAAATTAGGTATTTGTTGCTACACAAAGAGTACACATGAAAGATTTAAAAATATAAATTCTATGGCTGCTATCAAGAAATCAACCAATAACAAATGTTAGTGGGGTTGTGGGGAGAAAGGAACCCTTCTCCATTGTTGGTGGGAGTGCAGACTGGTGCAACCACTATGGAAATCAGTATGGAGATACCTCAAAGAGCTGAGATTAGAGGTTCCATTTGACCCAGCCATCCCTCTGCTGGGTATCTTTCCAAAAGAATTAAAAGAATCATATCACAGTGATATATGTGCACCTATGTTTATAGCGGCACAGTTTGTAATAGCTAAAACTTGGAAATAGCCCATTTTCCCATCATTTGGAGACTGGATAAAGCAGATGTGGTTTTTCTATAAAATGGAATACGACTCAGCCATAAAGAATGAGAAATTAGAGTCATTCATAGGAAAATGGATACATATTGAGGATATACTCCTATGTGAAATAAATAAGTCACACATGTATAAATACTAAATAGTTTCTCTGGTGTGAAAAACTACAATGGTACATAAGATCCTAATGATATAATTGACAATGTGAAATAGGAAGAAAAGGGCTAAAGGTGTAGGGGAAGTGTGAAGGGTAGGGAAAGGTAATAAGGGAAAAGGAAAAATATGAGAAAATGAAAAAATGGAAATAAAGTATTTGTAAGTAGGGCAGGGAGGAGGGGGTGAAGGGAGGGCAGGGACAAGGGAAAAAACTGAGAACCAAGACCTGTCATGTAAAGGTACAAGATCCCAGTAATGAATGTAACTGTACTGTATGCCTAAAATGAACCAATAAACTCAATGAGAAAAAAATATAATTCTCTGACTAGAACTGCATACTGTATTTAGACCACTCCTTTATCCCTCTCATTGCATTGCTCTTATTTCTCCATAAAGTCTGTTCTTGTTACTGTACCTAGGTCTAGTTGCTCACTGCTCAAAAGCTAATTCTTAGAAGGTGAGACTAGATAGGAAAGGAATCAAGTACACTGAAGGGCAGAATCCAAGAGGACACAGGGACTGTCACCCCCCAAAGCTCTATAGGGAAGCGAAGGAGGTACAGAGTGATGAACCAGAAGACTGTGTTTGGTGGGGTCTTCATTAGGGCAGTGATAGCTAATCTTTTAGAGCTTTCAGTGATACAGACAGGTTGCTGCTGCATGCATACTGTAGGTATGCCACTGCTGATAGAGCATGCTTACCCCATGCTTCAGTCCAGCGTCCAGAACATCAAAATCAACTTTGAGCTCCTAGGGCCATTTGTAAATGTATCACCTTTTAGCATATTAAATACCATAGCAGTCTACATGCTGCGTGTGTGTTGATGCACGGGATTCAATAAGCGGGGGGCATTACAGCGTCTCGTGTTATCTGAGGGTCACCAGATATTCTGTGCTCTGTGAACCTAAAGAAATATGATCTTAATTGTTTTGGTGTGGCTTTTATTTGGAATTTAGAATCTAGAATTCTGGGCAAAGGATGAGGGAAGCAACTCTGAAAAGGGCAACTCTCAAAGTACTGGTACTATTATATTCTCTTTCCCTAAATTACAGTATCTCATCTCTTTCCCTAAATTCTTTATCCTGTCCCATACCTTTATCTTGCTACATCTCTGGGTTTCCTCTCCTAATTGCTCTTTCCCTCTTCCATATTTCTGTGTTTCTTTTCATCTTGGTTTCTTTTCTCATATCAGTGCCCTTTTGTCTTCATTTATGTTTATGTCCATTGGGGGAACAGCCAGTCATGTTTTTTTTTTTTTTTTTTGGTACCAGGGATTGAACTCAGGACCTTGCGCTTGTGAGGCAGGCAGCAGAACCACTGAGCTAAATCCTTGGCAGCCAGTCGTCTTTTAAGGTAACAGTTGATATCTGAATATGAGGTCCCAAATCAAAGAGTTAGAGAGTCATATGGTTTTGGAGTTGTGAGGATCTTGGAGATAGATCATGTAGCAGATTCTCTTTATTTTTGCCTGAGAAGACAGATATGGTGAATTATGTGATTTCTCCAAGGCTACACAATGACCAGGCTTCATATGCCTGTTTTTCTAGTCCAATGCTATTTTTTGTCATAATAGCTTCTGAATATGTGCACGTGAAAATAATAAGGCATCACGAGTTACAGAGTTATCTGTTCCTATAGTACTAAGGAAATAACAAATCTCTTCTCGGGCATGCGTGTAAAAGAACATAGATATCTTGATAAGTCGTTTCCTCAAAAGTTCACAAAAAGATATTTAGCAAGAACTATGGGCAATAAGTTCAGACAATTTATTGCAGAAAACAGTGCACTTCAGTCAGAGGGCAGAGAAGCACATTTGTCAAATATATATAGAGAGCTATGGACCTTTCGATTAGAAAAATGTTTAAAAAATAAAGAAGCTGATCTTTTCCCTTAACTTTTCTTTGATATTTTCTTATTTTGAAATTTATGGCAACATGTATCACCACTTATTTTCATGTATAAATTAAGATTAGTATATTGTACTCTCATTTACTTGAGTTAATATAAATTTAAACTCTTCAGGCAAGACCAGCTGCAATTATACTTCTAAAGATTTTCTTTTTATCATTATTTATAGCTAACAAGACATTTATGATTTCTCTTTGGTTGTCTGTAGGAAAGAATTTTTGGCAATGCTTTCCTTACTTGAAATTCTCATATGTGTAGAAATCTAGTTGGGAAAATGCATAAGTAAATAACAGTTCTTAAGAGTATAATCTATCCTTTGTGACATAAATTGATCTCTATTCACATCTGTGGAATATTTCCCAGTTTTGCAATTAAATATTCTGATATATACAAGAAAACATGCTGATTTCTTTCTAGTTGAGGATACTCCAGTCAACCTTCCTCTTTTAAAAAAAATTTTTTTTAGTGCTGAGGACCAAACCAAGACTTCATGTTTGCTAGACATCTGTTCTACCACTAAGCTATATTCCCAGCCCCTCAACCTTTTCAACAAACTATGTGCTTTTAAATAGATGCATCATTTTTCTCAAAATTGGGTTATAAAGGGTTTATCCAAACTGTAATCAGATGGATAATTAAACAGGAAAGGTAAGAGACATCTGACTGTTCATGTTTATAATATAAATTGAAAAAATAAAATGGGAATTTTTAATCCTAAGGGTCATTTAACCAAACCATATATATAAGATGAAATTCCCTCAGTTCCCACTATAATTTTGAGATGGTTGGTGATTCTGAAGCTAGATCTCTCACAGAAAATGGACAGTTTGATGGGAGAAATTTGATATTATTTTATCTTTTACTCTTGTCTTAGGAAAATGCAAAGATGCTACTCTGAAACAGTTTTTAAAAATATTTTTGTTATCTTTCTACATAACAGTGCTGCTTTATTTTCTCAGATCTGTTTCAGTAGTCTGGAATATTTTCTGGAGTGATTTTTTAAATGTTAAAAGTTCTTCTTTTTTCTATCATGCAGCCGTTCCCTTTGAAAGGCTGTAGGTGTTTGATTCCCATCTAACTTCATTTATGGCAGGCATTGCGTTTCACTTTAGCTTTTTTTTTTTTTTT